TCTGTCCTATCCTGTGCCATCCTCATCATCAGAATACACTCACGCCCACTGTTGCAGTCACTCTGTCAATCCATCTCACTGGGGGTCTTTCTCTCCTATGCCATCCTCCACCTTTCCAAGCATGCTATCTCTCTCTCAAAGGAACAGTCTCTTCTAGCAACATACCCAAAGTATATGAGATGAAGTTTCATCATCTTTGCTTCCAAAGGGCACTACAGCTGCACTTTCTCCAAGACACATCTGTCTGTTCTTTCAGCAGTCATAGAAGAGTCAGTACTCTTCTCCAAAGCCAGGTTCAAAGTCACCAATCCTTGTCATCCTTATTCACTATCTAGCTCTCAGATGCACAGCAAGTGATTAAAGAGACCATGGTCGGGATCAAGCACACCTTAGTCTTCAAACTGACTTGAAGACTCGATCATTGCTTGTCAGTATTTTAGAGAGATCTCGAACTGCAGACTTTCTCAATGCACTGTTGTTGTTGGGTACCACTGAGTCGAAACCAACCCACAGGAGACTCTCCAGAGGGTTTTCAGAGACAGATAAGCACACAAGAGGAGATTGCCCATCCTTCTCTTGCACAACAGCTTGTGGATTCGAACCGCATACCATCTGCATTGCAATGCAGCTTCTTACCTCTAGGCCACTTAAGTGTCTTCTGAATTCCAACTGCTGCTACCAAGAGGATTGTTTGTTGATCAATGTAAAACAAAATCAGTTATAGCAAATTAAATACTTTTTTTTAAATAGGAAACTCTCAGCATGTTTGCTTCTTCCAAATTTATAATCACTTTGCTGAAAGTGTGTACCTGAGTGTCCTCTTCCCTCAAGCATGGCATAGTTGATAGAGGTGCATCCTGTTCAGTCCAGATTCACGACCACTCCTGCAGTTCTGTCAAGGCATTGGTCATTCCAGGTATGTATGGTTCAACTCATTCAATGGACACACTGTGATGCTCAGTTATTACCCCAAAAATATTGTGCCTGGGTATTCAATCAGAAATTCATCTTGTAATTAACTGACTTTAAGCCAGGGAGATTATCCTCAGTAATTTGGTTTTGCATGATTCAATCAACTGAGAGACTTTAGGACCAGAACTGAGGTTGCCTTGAGAGAGAAATTCCACCTGTATAGAGTAGCTTCAGCCCCAGCCTAAGTTTCTCATAGCCAGCTAACTGCATTTCCAGGGAATTCACACTTGGCTACCCAGCACTCATAATCACACAAACCAATTCCTTGCAAGAAATTTCTTTATAGATTTTATGTGTTAATGGTTGGTAAACCAATGCGGAGAGTGTGGGGTGAAGCTCCCCGATTAAAACAAGCTTGGAAGCAGGGGTGGCATCCACTTCCATAATAGCTTGCCTCCAGAAACCCCATGAACCTGGAGAGAGGATGAAAGACACACAAGCGTTGAGGACTCTCCTTTATAGGGTCGCTATGAGTCGCCTGTAAGTCGATGACACTTAACAACAACAACAACAAACACCGCAAGTAAGTATTCTTTTGATTTCCTAACTGCTGGTGCCAAGAGTGTTGATTGTAGATTCAAGGAAGCTAAAATTATTAATCATCTCAATTTCTTCTCCATCCATCATGGTGCTGTCTATTGGTTCAGTGGTGAGAATCTTTGTCTTCTTGATGTTGAACTTCAATTCATACTGAAGATTATAGCCCTTGACCTGCACCAAGCACTTCCGGTCCTTCTCAGTTTCAGCAAGAAAGGCTGTGTCATCCACACACTGCAGGTTATTGATGAGTCTTCCTCCAATCCTGATGCCACATTCCTCCTCATAAATTCCAAACACCCAAATGATCAATTCTGCATATAGACTGAAAAGGTATGGAGACAGAACATTTTCTGATTTTGAACCATGCAGTGTTTCTCTGCTCTGTTCTCACTACCGCTCCCTGGTCCAAGAATAGGGTTTGCATAAGCACAATCAAGTGTTCTTGGATCCATAAATATTAGCCATAAGCTCCATAAGAACAAAGGTTGTAATGTCTGTTTTGTTTAAAGAACTGTATTTTCACACCGGAATAGATGAAGGAAAGGAATATGTGGTTATGCTTTATATATATGACAATTAACAATCTAGAACAAGAAGTACACTACAGGGTGAACTGGGGGAAAAGGGTAGGCGGAAATATGCATCAATGAATGAATGAAAACCCAACCTTTCTGGTGGTAGCACATGGTGAATTCTCAGGATGTTTCAACTCAACAAATAAATGGTTGGTAATACAGCGTACCTACCTCACAAGTGTGGGTTCCTGACTCATGCTGCTAAGGCCGCTGACAGGAGGGATATGGCAACTTGTGAGAATGATTCAGATTTTGATTTGAAACTAAGGGTGGATATTTCACAGAATGTACTTGGCAAATGGCCCTAAATGACACTAAAGGATCAGTGTCTTTATATCACTGCTAATAACACTCTAAGTTGGTTGGCACACCCACCTGGCTCAGCCCTTCTATGGGTCTAAATTTTGCTTTGAGTTAGAGATCACACAAAAATCTATAAATTTTTAAATTACTTTTAAAAAATATTTCCAACATTCTGATATTACTAAGATCAAAACCATTGTCAAGTATAGTTCTTTTAGAAGCTTGAAGCCATCTAGAATAATAATTAAAACATATTCAAAATGGATGACCCTGGAGGACATTATGCTGAGTGAAATATCTCAGTCACTAAAGGATAAATACTGCATAGTGCCACTGTTATTAAAAAGGACTGACATCAGGGTTGGGGGGAGACTGAGAAAGATGGGATAAGTTATGCATACTGCATTGAAACAGATGAGAGAACTATTTAAAAGGGATATATGATTAGGTATTATTGTCATGATAGGAGTCCAGAACAAAGGCTGCATAGTGGAGTGAACTTGGGGGGAGGGATTATATTAACAATGAAAGAATTTTTCTTTTACTTTTCAAAGAGAAGAACAAACTGGAGGGGAGGGGTGGGCAGAGAGAAAAGTGTGACAATGAATGAACGGAAATCCAAAGTCTCTGTAAATTTTCATTAAAATTAGTAATAATAACAATAAAAATTTTTAAAAGTTTATATCTTATGGAAATATATTGAAACTGATATTATGGAAATATATTGAAACTGATATTATAGAAATACATTGAAACTAAAATTAATTATGTTTAAAAAAAAGACAAGATGGAAGTGGAATAATAACAAACATATTTCTGCTTTAACAGACAGCTTGTCATCATGGCTAATAAGAATACTACTTTTTGGGGTAAAAAAAAAAAAATCACTGACAAAATAAGAGCACCAGTAATGTTAATAAAGAAAATTAGTAAAATGAATTAAGAGTATTTTATGGCTTTATGATTCTAAGAATCTACGACAAATTTAAGGAAAAATATGGTGACTTTGACCACAATTAACAATTTACATAATGGAAGCTAACAGTTTAGAAGTAGTTACAGACTCTGAAGTCAATAAAAGCTCCCTAGTGGTATAATGGTTAAGCTCTCAGCTGCTAACTGACAAAAAGAATGGCAATTCTGACCCTGACACTGACTCTGAACTGATCTCCTGAGGAAAGACCTGAGACCTGCTACCCTGAAGATGACAGGCTCGGAAACCCTACAGGAGAGCTCTACTCTGTCATCCAAGGTTCCTGTGAGTTAGAACTGACTCAATAGAATACAACAATAACAAAGTCACCAAGGAATAGCTACTTAGAATGAGAAACTCTTGACAATTGTGTGTGGGAGGGTAGCAATGAAAAACAAACAGAATTGGCATCCCCAGTATAAAACTTAGGAGGACAAAGAAAAAAAACCCAAAAAGGAAATATTTAGATGTTTTACTCATAAGCAAGCGAAGTAAAATAGTATTAAGATAGTACAAACACCTACAGAAATTGAAAAACCAAGTCAGATAATATTGTGTTTTCAAGCACTACTGAAGCTCTAATGATGGCACAGAAGTTAAGCACTAAGTTTCTATGTCAAAGGTTGGTAGTTCAAATTCACCAACCACTCTACAGAAGAAAGATGAAGCCATGTGCTTCAGCAAAGACTGCAGCCTTTGAAGTTCTAAGGAGTAGTTCTATTCTGTCCCACAGGGTTGTTACGAACAGGAATCAACTTGACAGAAAAGGGGTTTTGTTGACTGCTAGAGAGGCAACTGGGACCTAGAACCATCTCATCAAAAATACAGTTGTTGCTGTTGTTAAGCATGATCAAGTTGAAATCGACCCATAGCTGACTCTCTAGGTTTCCAGAAGCAGTTAATCACACAGGAGGAGACTGCCCATCCTTCTCCGACGGAGCAGCTGGTGGATTTGAATCTTGTGCTTTCGGGATTGCAATGCAGTTTCTTACCACAGTAGACATATTTTAACTATATATATCATCACCCACAACTTTGGCTTGGAATCACAAGCAGCTAACCTCCCACACACACTACAGAGAAACATGCAAAAAAATGATGTCCATTCAACATTGCCAGAGAAATCAAGAGGTTGGTTTCATGGCACAATACCTTAAGGATATTAAGGCACAGATACCTACAAGATTGGCTGGAAAGACACATATTAAATACCAAGGGAAATGCAAAGGGTCTCAGTAAGGGTAAGAAAGAAATACAAGTCCAACAAAGTAAGCAGAGAGAAGACGCCCACTGACGCTCCACGGGGGAGACAAGACCCTAAAATGTTGATTTTCAAATCAAGATGATTAAAGAGATGAGAGAAAATTAGGTAAGAACATCTGGAGCTTTCTTTTGTTCTGGAGGATTCACCAATGCCATTTACAACCTATGTGGAAAGCTCCATAGTTATCAAATATGTGATAAATGTCAGCAATTTGATATTTACTAATGCCAAAGATAAAGAAAAAAATATTTGAAATTATTTTTATTTCAGGCCAGGCGTTGCTTTAGGTCATATATACTACTTACCATTAGTGTATTGAGCTTGGCTGTAATTTTAGAGGTAAGTGCACTAGACTGTTTTATTGATTACTCACCTGTATGCCAGGCTGAAAAGCCCTTTTCTGCTGGGGAAGAGGCTTTAGTGCTTCTGAGCATCAAGGCATCTTCTAAAAACTCAATCTTCTTGCTGAACTGTACTTCTAAAATTGGGATAACTTCTGGCATTTTGGCAGATATCAAGCGATAAGCTATGTCTGGCTTCCCAATAAATCTCTGGCGTATACTAACTTCATAAGGCGTGTGAACTTTAATATCATCTACATCATCTCTTTCAAATCTGTGCATAAGCAAAGAATTTGAGTCATGGACTTCCAAGCCAGAAACAAGGACAATAAGCTTTCCTGGTTTAACATGAGACTCTGTTCTTTGGGAAATAATAGCAGGAATTTTGATAATGATCCCTTCTTTTCCAAAAGCCTCAGAGCTAGGTGTTGAGGCACTTTCCTTGGGCTTTGTTTCTGATGTCTTCCATAACTTGGAACTAAAAGGCCACCAAGAAGGAGACTCCAGTTCTGTCAGTAATCTAAAATGGCAAACAAAACACAGAAAATTTGGATCAATATTTTTAAAACTTTCACCTTTATAAAGCCCTATACCATGATATCGAACTTCACTGACATAATCCATAGGAAGCTGTGGTGTTAACTTAAAGATGGTACTTGTCTGGTGGTTCAAATCCACCAGCTGCTTTTCAGGGAAAGATGGGCAATCACTTCCTGTAGGATTTATAACCTCAAAAAACCCACTGGAGGGTCAAAAACGAGTCATTTCCAAGCTGGACTTTGTATAAACACTGCATGATCTAAAGGCAACTGACCATGTCCAGCTGTCACCACAGTCACGCCTGTTGGAAAGACTACCACTGTGAGTGTAAAGGAAAAAGAGAAGCCACAAGCAGGCACTGTCCTGCAGTGAGAGGTGAAAGGCTGCACTGGCAGAGAAGCCAGATAAGTAAATGAAGCCGAGAAGAAGGAATAGGTGAAGGAAGGAAGGAAGAGGTACTGGGATATGTCTAGAGGTGTGCTGCTCAGTCACTGCAGGTTTCCAGTCTTTATTTTTCTAAAATAATATTTTTTTCATTGTTGAACATTTTCTTATCTCCACCCTGCAATCATTTATTCCTTTCAGATAGTTCTTTCCCTTATCTGTTCTAATGCAGTATTCATTATCTATCTATTCTTTTACTATTCTCTCCCCAACACCCTGTCCATCTGTCCTATTTTAGAACAGCAATGTTATGCAGGATTTGTCCTTTTGTGACCGAGGAATTTCACTCAGCATAATATCCTCCAGACTCCTCCATGTTGTGTAGTGTTTTACAAGTTCATTGTTTTTCAGTGTTGTATAATATTCCATTGTGTGAATGTACCATCATTTTTCTATTCATTCCTTTTAAAAACAATTAAAGAAAAACAATAAATTAAAGGGGAGCTGCTTTTTCTAAAAAAAAAAAAAAACACCAACCACCTTACAGGAACTCAGAAATATATGTAGTTAGATGCTCCTCAAGTGGACACTAAGTAATAAATACCTGAACATATGGACTGACATAGTAACTGGGGTAATGTGGCAGGGGTCTCAGAGACAGTGAGATTGGCTCAAGATAGGATAGGGTTCAGAGCTGCTGTGCATAGAGTTTTCATGAATTGCAAGTGACTCAACAGCATGTAACAACAACAAGCAACATGCAAGTATATGTGTGCATAAAAGAAGTGCAGTAAGGGGCTCCTTAGAGGCAAGGATGGTGAGACTTTGACTTATGAGGATGGTCCAGTTTTGGGAAAAGGACATCATCTTTAGAAAAGTAGAGGGTTAGTGAAGGAGAATGTCTTAGTTAACTAATGCTGCAACAAGAGAGATACTGCAAATGGATGGTCTTAACAAATAGAAATTTATTGTTCTACTCTGGTAGCTGAGTGGGTCGATTTGCACAGTCAATCCAAGACATTTGGTTTGAATCTGCCAGTTGGTCCTTGGGAGAAAGATGGACACTTTCTCCCATGTTATTTACAGCCTCCGAAAACCTGCTACAATGATCAGCTACAAGTTGTTTCCAGCTCCATGACAATGACTAACTGACTGTCTTATAGTTGAGGAGGTTAGAAGTCCAAATCCAGGGTGCTAGTTCTGGGGTAAGAACCTTCTTTCCATGTTACATGCTAGTTGTGAATGAAAGCCTTTGTTTCCTTCAGCATCTATAGGTTTGGCATTCCTTGGAGACTGATCTCCCTGTGTTCTGGCCTTCTCTAACATCAAGGAGCTTAAAAAGAAACACTCTTGGTGATTATTTCTGGGTGATACTGAGGTCTCCTTTCTAGTGAGATAATAGGTATTACTCAAACCCTAGGGGAACTTACTTTATTTTCTGATTAGGGTTGTGATGGAATTATACAGTACTGTTTTCCACCCTTAATCCTCATACAACTACTTGGTTTATCAGATCACAGGGGATCATTACATAGCTTCCACATTATATAATTACACACATGCATTTTGGGGGTACATAATTCAATCCATAACAGAGAAAAAGACCCTTAACAAGGTAGACTGGCACAATGATTTCAACCACAGGCTTAAGCACAATGGAGATGTAAGGATTGCTAAGTATCAGGCAAGGTTTTGATCTGTTACATATACACTGGGTTGCTATGAGAGTTGAAGTCTACCCGACAGCAACTAATGTATATATACCACACAGAAAGAGAGAAAGTGCAAGCGAGTAACGAGTCTAGTTTCACTTACACACGCGCACGCATACACACACCCACCTCATTCTCATTCTCTCTCTCTCTCTCTCTCTCAAGCTAAGTAGAGAAATCAGACATTTCACACCAAAGGAGAAATGTGATTTCAGAGAATTATTGCAGGCAAGTCACTATAACAAACAAACATAACCACCATCATTGCCCTGGGGCAATGAGAATCCAAAGCTGTTGCAGTATATTATTAAAAATGAATGTTTTTCAGCAAAAACACATGAGGTATGCAAAGAAACAGGAAAATGTGCGTTATACACAGGAATAAGCCCAGTCAATAGAATCTATTCTTGAAGGGACTTAGATGTTGAACTTAATACCTCAAAGAAGTTACTGTAAAAGATGTCTAAAACATTAAAAGAAACTTTTAATTAAAGGAAAAGGGAGTTCTGGTGGTCTAGTGGTTAAGAAGTTGTACTGTCCACACAGCTGGCCGTGCAGAAGTACCCTACACACAGCCCGAGTGTACTCTTCTGGCCATATACTGAAAATGATCTTCAGCAAGATTTTGCTTGCAGAGGAAGACGAAAGATGGCCGATGGCCAACCTGCATGGAGCTTGCCGCCTCACAGCCTGCCTTAAGACAACCTTAGTTTGAGTCTTTGTTCTACTGCCTTTATTATTTTTTCAACCTTGCGGAAGGGGTAAGTAATAACACCTACAATTAGACTACTTGGTGGAGAGAAAGGGAGCCATTATGGTGGTGCTAGAGCAAGAAGTGCTATCCCCATCCATGAGCCCCAGTAGGGTACAAGGTCAGGACTTCAGAAGAGTTTTGGTAAAGGAGAGCCCTCTAGCCCCTGGGAGTGCTGCCCAGTCCCTGGGGAGAGCCAACTGGCAGGGGAGGGCCACCTGGTCCCTGTGGAGTGTCGTCTGGTGTCTATAAGGCACTTTATCTAAGCCACTTTCCTCCATCTCCTCCTCCAGTACACCTGTAAGTAACACCTCCAAAGTCCTTGTCTTTGTAAGTCACAAGTTTGTTCTCTCTAGGTTTGCTCCCTTTCCTATGTTGTTGTTATATGCCATCGAGTCGCTTGCGACTCAAGAGACCCTATGTACAACAGCCCTAAACTCTGCTCTGTCCTGTGCCAATCGCACTGTCTCTGACACCCTCATCCTGATTACCCCAGTCACTGAATCAATCCACCTCATAGAGGGCCTTCTCCTCCTGCCCTGTCCTCCCCCCTACCAAGCATGATGTCCCTCTCCAAGGACCAGTCCCTCCTTACAACATGTCCAAAGTGTGTCAGACGAAGCCTCAGAATCCTTGCCTCCAAGGAGCAGCCTGGTTTAACCCTCTCCAGGATGAACCTGTTTGTTTTCTTAGCAGTCCATGGTACCCTCAATACTCTTCTCCAGCACCACAGCTCAAAGGCATCAATTCTCCTTCTATTCTCCCTAGTCATTGTCCAACTCTCTGATGCATAACAAGTGACTGCAAAGACCATGGCCTGTATCAGATGTACCTTAGTCTCCAGAGAGACACCATTGCTCTTCAGTACTTTGGAGAGGTCCTACTGAGTCTTGTTCCCAAACCTGAACCCTGAGCCCAGTTCCAGAGACAAAAGGGAAATATAACTGTCAGATAAGGAAGTGAAGGCAAAGAGAACCTCAAAGTTCAACCAGCCACTCCCACTGGACTCACCCAGGCAAACACCTTACAGTCCAGAGAGCAGAAAATGTCATGAAAATATCTTCTAACGGAACAAGACGGCATGCAGTTTCAATTAAAACCACCAGCAAAGTGTTAAAGTGGGCTCCACTTCCCCTTCATCCCAATGCCCCTGTTTAGCACAGAGCAGCCAGAGAATCTGCACCCCTATTCCCAAATGGGAAACCCACAAATAAAAAAGACAAACTCATTGTTGGAGGAAAAAATCACCAGTGGACTATGCCCTGTCTTTTCCAGCCCCTGCCAGATCTTTTTCATTTCCTTTACCCACTCCCTCCACTCACCAAATTATACAACCCTGTGATTTCATCCCTACCCATTCTCACCCTTCTGCTCCCACCCCTTACTCCCTTAGATCCCCACACATGCTTTTTACAATAAATAAATAAATTTAAATTTTTTTTTAAAAAAAAGAAAAAGAAGAAGCTGTACTGTAATCCCCAAGGCACGTGGTTCAAATCCACCAGTTAGATACTCCATGGAAGAATAGGCAATCCTTTCCCATTCAATTTACTGCCTCTAGAAACCCACTGGAGGGTCAGCTATGTGTTGGTCCCAACTTGATGGTACACAACAACAACAACAACAAAAATTAAAGGAAAAGCATGGTAACAACAACTTACCAAATAGGGACTATCACTAAAGAGATGATGATTGTGATCATTGCATTGAGTCAGAACCAACCCATAGCTGACCCTCTAGCAGGTTTTCAGAGGCTGTAAATCATAATGGGGGAGACTGTCCATCTTTCTCCCTCAGAGCAGCTGGCGGATTTGAAATGCCTACCTTTGGATTGGCAGTGCAGTTCCTTACCCACTAGGTCACCAGAATGCCTTACTAAAGAGATGGAAATATAAAACTTAAATTATATAAATCATAAATGAACATTTTCATGTAAAAAAATATGTAATGACAGAGTGATGTCAGCATGGTATAAGCAAGAGCAAGCACCCATGTCCCAAAGAAACACACATGCAAAACAAAACAGAACACCCAAGCAGAAACTGGCAGAATCAACTGTTAGAACTCTGAACACCAAAAGTTTACAGCAATAAGCAAATGTGGAATTAAAATAGTAAGAAAGTAAAATGCAAG